CTTGACCTCGTGATCCACCCGCCTCGGCCTCCCAAAGTGCTGGGATTACAGGCTTGAGCCACCGCGCCCGGCCATCTGTGCAATCTCTCATGTTAACCTGGCTCTTTTATTCTATAGTGGATCTGATTGGTGGCTACATTGGCACCGTCAGCCATGAGAGCCACGTGGATCAGCTGGAACTTAATGAGACTGGACGCAAGCTCCTCTTCAGGGACCGGAAACTTCGTGTAAGAAGAGTTACTAAGGCCTTAGGCATTGGCTGGCCCATAGAGGGTGTGAGACAAGCTGCCACCAGAGACTGAGGCAGCCAGGGTGAGGCATAATTTCTTTGCTGTGTCATCAGCATAGCAGAAGGCACAACATTCTCTGTACCTGATACCAAAACCCATCCTTTATTACCTCTTTTTTTTTTTTAGAGACAGAGTCTTACTCTGTCACCCAGGATAGAGTGCAGTGGTAAGATCGCAGCTCACTGCAACCTCTGCCTCCCAGGTTCAAGCGATTCTTCTGCTTCAGCCTCCCCAGTAGCTGAGACTACCGATGTGCACCACCACACCTAGCTAATCTTTGTATTTTTAATAGAGAACAGTGTTTCACCATGTTGGCCAGGCTTGCCTCGAACTCCTGACCTCAGGTGATTTGCCCACCTCAGCCTCCCAAAGTGCTGGGGTTATAGGCATGAGCCACTGCACACGGCAATCCAATATTACCTCAGAGGCAATTGTATTACAGCAACGAAGTCAAGAGGGGAGTTTGGGAGTTGGTCTCTCTTACTGTTCACAGTCTGTGCCCTATTGAAACTTCCTTAACCCTGCATTCCTCCTCCTCATGCCTAGCTGACCTTCACTAGACCTGCTGTCCACTGCCTTTCAGCCACACTGACCTGATGGCATGAACTGGCTGGAGGACAGCCTCTTTGTCCCTCATGGATTCTTATCCCATCCCAATATGGTAGCACCAGTGTTCAACCTCAGGTCAACAAGACAACCTGGTGATTTTTCATTTTAGTGAAAGCCACATCACAGATTTCCAGATCATTTAGTGTTTCTAGTGGCCTGCCATTTGTAATCCAAGCTGGTAACTCTGGCCCAGAGTTATTCCAAGAAGGAAAGTCTGACCTTCACCTAACTTACAATTCCTGGGATGTAGATCTCTGTTCTATGAGTCATCTCTTTCTTGACCAGAGTTAGGATATACCACCTCAGCAGACAGCAGGTCAGTAAGCTTTGAAATGCAGCATGAACCTGACTGGTGGGTTAGCTCACCACATCTCATCATTAGGGAAATGGTCAAAAGCAAGAGACAACCCCACATGCACTTCTAATTGTGCTATCTGCCTCTTCTTTCTTCAGTTGCATCTGTATGATATTGAGAGCTGCTCTAAGACGATGATCCTCAACTTCTGCGCCTATGTGCAGTGGGTCCCAGGAAGTGATGTGCTGGTAGCTCAGAACTGCAACAGCCTGTGTGTGTGGTACAACATTGAGGCGCCTGAGAGAGTCACCATGTTCACTATTAGGGTATGTTGGACACTAGGGGCCCTCAGATGTGGTGTTGAGCTGATTAGTTAGAGCCACGAGGAGACTCTGAAGGCTACTTGTTTTCTGTGTCAACCACTCTTAATCTCTGTGATAGAATTGGCAAATGAAGCTTACACTTATGGACCAGCCCCCAGGACCATCCTTTTTCAGATTCCTAACACTATGTTAGACCGTTGGAGTATGGGCTAATTACAGTGGCCCTAGGAATTCCCAGGTCATATTTTGGAGATCTCTGTAGGCTGGAAGATCCCTGATAGGAGGGGCAGTGCTAATGTCATCTCCTTCCGTACTGATTCTCTGTTATAAGCCATTCAGAGTTCATTTTTTTTCTCAGATTACAGATCAGATCTTCTCTCCTGTCCTATCATATCGCACATACCCAGTAGTCTTCCAAAATCTGAGAGGAGCCAGAGGAAAGAGAGGCAGGCTCCTGTGCTAAGCTAGGATGACTGATGTGTGTATGGGTAGAGCACTCAATGCTTTTTGTTCTTTTCCATACCTCTTTTTATCTCCTTTTTGCCTCATTTTAGACTGGTTAGGGTCTAAAATTTATTTGTTTAGTTTTTTCTTTTCTCTCTTTCTCTCTCATCTATTTTCTCTCTCCTTCTCTCTTTTCCTCTCTTTTCCTGTTTTATTTCTCTCTCTCTTCTTTATTTCTGAGATGGGGTCTCACTCTGTCTCCCAGGCTGGAGTGCAGTGGTACAATCATACTCACTGCAGCCTCAGCTTCCTGGGCTCAAGCAATCCCCCTGCCTCAGCCTCCTGCCTAGCTAGGACTACAGGTGCATGCCACCATGTCCAGCTAATTTTGTGCTTTCTTTAAACATCTCTTTTTTTTTTCTTCACATTTTGGGTTTGAAAGTTATATATCCTATTTCTGTAGAGGTTACCTTGAAAGTTTAACATGTACATTTTCTAAAGCTAATCAGCATCTAACCACCCCCACCCCTGCAAACAATATAAGGACTTTAAAAGACTTTGACTTTATTTTTTCTTT